GTTGGGGCAGGGGCAAGAGAAAACGTAGCTGGTAAATAGTAAAGAGATACCTGAGGAGTCAGATGTTAGGCAGGTTGTAATATGTCATAAATCCAATTTCTATATTTAGTCCATTATTTTTTGTATCCAGTAGGTTGATAAAGTGAAGTTCATAGGCTCATCTGTGAAAAGTATTTTGTAAATTCCCATCAAGGATTAGAACTGAGATATTGGAGAGAGAGTGGTTTTCTTGTGAGAAATACGATCACATAGGTAACTGGATATTCTTGTCTTTGATAGACTTCCAGTGTGTGTTCATTTTGGTGCACAGTTGTGGTTTGGTCTCTCCTACATATTTTCCATCTGGGCATTTGGTGCATTGGATGAGATATATTACATTTCTGGAGGTGCAGCTGTAAGATCCAGAAATGTTTATGGTTCTGTTGTGCTGTGTAGTAATTGTGGGGGTGGTGATGTGTTGGTAGGTTTTACATTTGGGTATTGCAAGTTGTCCCTGCTCTATAGTATGAATGACCATGTATAAATGCACAAAAAATGCTTCAGAAATGTTAAGGTTAAAATGTCATGGAATTTATTTTATTTTACTAAATCAGTACTTAATTCAGCTAGATAAATTGGAGGCTTTGGAAAGTCAAATAGCAATAAGAACAATGGGAGCCACTGAATAGTAGCAAGTTTCTGCCAAACTGTGAATGGAGAGTGAGGAAATAGAGGTCTTTGTTATCTTAAATGGCAATGATGACTGAAAATCCTGAACCAGATAATCTTAAGAACATTCACCCTGAGGCATCCAAAGTAAGTACTGAGAGACAAGTTGGAGGGTTTTTCCTGCATGAAGAGTTTTGCATCAGATGGGATAGGAGACAACAAAAGGGAAACTACAGTGTTTACAGAGGCCTTAGCACACAATAAAAAGACCACATTGCAGTACTGGCCACATATTTGTATCTGCACTAACATGAGAGATGAGATGATTGAAAATTATTCTTGTGTCGTGGGCCAATCAATATTTCCTTTGATTTGAGGTTTTATGGCTGAACAACAGCACATAAAATCAGAGAGGGAAGACAGAGCACTGAGTGAATGATTGTACCAAAAGATTTTCTGTATTTTTGCATCAACCAAAGGCCAGTTTCTCAGCATCTGTAAAGTTTTTTTCAGCAACGTGTTCTCAGCAGTTGGTTATTTGGCTAATACTAGCTGCCTGTGCTCAGCTGCTAATGAGAATACCTCCGTTTGTGAAGCAATGTTAGCTATTTTGCAAATTAAAACTAGTGAATTTGGATTGAGCTATCTGTATCACTGAAAGTAGACTGTCTGGCAGGGCAGATACTAAGTCTTCCTCACTTCAGTTTCAGCCAACATCACTTAATAAGGTTCTAAATGTGCTGGGGTAACCACATACCACCATCTGTTCTAGATCTCCATTTTTCATGGATGGCGAAAGCTAACAGGGTGGGGAAGGAACTGAATAATGAGTTCCTTGAAACTGTTGAGAATGAAGAAAAATGGTATTTGTCGCATTGATTGACCAGTCCTCCTGGTTCTGGAAAATGATTAGATGCCCTGGTTAAAGGAGTTGGATCAATCATCTGCCTTTGATGCTATGTATCATGAGTGCTGTTGATATATGCCCATGGTGGGGGTGGAGAAGGCTCTCTCCTTTGGTAGCTTTGTTCTGTTTCTCCAGAGACCTCTCAGAAGGTAGTGTAGGGTAATAAATTTCTGTCCTGAGGATTCGTGTAGGACAGATCGCAGTCACCCCTAGGACTATGCTATATAAGATTCTCTCTGGCTGAGCAGTGGGGATGTGAAGCCAGCTAGCCTCAAACTACCCATACTTCCAAACTCTGGTACTGAGCCTCAGACACAGCTGTCAGCCTGGCTTCTCCTTAAATAAAATTGCCATCCTGAGACCAATTCTTCTCCCTCAATAGTAGTTTCCTTTATTCTGAGGATCTGTGTTTGCAGGGGGGGGAGTTTTGAAAAGGGGTAGCATGCCTTCAAGACTTCTCTCCTCAGTCTTAAGGACACAGGATATCCTGTCACACGTTCTTGAACAGCCTTTCAGTATATTTCCACATGATAAGCTTGCTCTTTTTTCATATCTTCTCATGGAATAATTTAGATCTCTTGTCTTCCTGACTTATACCCCAGTTTTCCTTCCTTCTTCTCTCTTAGCTCCGGCACTTTAGTACTGAATTCTGAAGTGGCTTTCAATATGGTATGTCTGCACCTACATGTAAAACCTATATAACAGTAATGTTGTATGACTCCTATGCAAAACATCAGTTGCCTCATCAACTCTCAAAGTTCATGACGGTGAGGAGCAGCGGCCTAATAAGTACATCTGTTAAGCAAAGAGGATCTAAGGGTCCAATCAGCAAGTCATGGTTTAAGCCTCCTGTTTTCCTTTTCCATTTCTCTCACCCCTCCAAAACCACCCTTAAGCTTATAAAAGTGTGACAATATTTTTTAAAAAACTGTAAATTTACATCACAAGCAAACTGACAAGAATTCAATGTGAAAAGAAATACTTTGGATGAAATTCAGCTGTGGTGTTAATGCGTGGTGTTTCATTGAATTCAATGGATTCTACAGCTTCCTGCCCTAGTGATTCATGGACCCCAGATCTTTAAATTGTCCCACTGTTTGAAAGTACAGCAGGACCTTCACATTAGTCCATGATGTAACCTGCCATATGACTTGCATATCTAGACAGAATGCTAACACTCAAGCACCAAGTGTCCATTTCTGTTCTGAAGCTGTTCACTATCATTGGTTTCTGTCACATTTTCCATAAAGCCTAAAACCATTTTCTTTACAAAAAGAGGATCTTTTGCAAAATGATTTCACCAGCTGTGAATCCCCGATTTCTCATGTCCAGAAATCAGAGTGGGCAAAGCAGGGGGCAGGAAGTCTGCAGTTAGCTTCTTTCTGTGCATTGTCATTGATTGGTAGTGAAACATTTCTTTTTAGACAGCATTCTTCACAGTGACTGTCATCAAATGCTTTGCAAAGGAAGTCAGTCAAATAAGCCAAAGAGAAAAAGAAGGTTTTAGGGAAAGTTTTTTTTTTTTAAAAAGTGATTGAGTAGCTCATGGATTGGGATAAAGATGGGACAGAAGAAGAAAAAATAACAGTTATAGTCAAGGAGCAAATGATGCCATAGGAAAGTCTGTAGGAAAGTTTTGTTATGGGAATAAATTTAAATTAAGGATACTGAAATACCATGCTTGGTCAGTGATTGTATGAAAATAAGTAATCCAGGAAAGTAACTATACCAAATTAAAGAATTCAAGTTGTTTGGGATCATCTCAAACTTCTATAACACAGGAAAAACTGATTTCTTTTCCAGAAATAGTTCTTACAACGAAACAAACAATTTTGCCCCACACGTGTTTTTGACGGCACCATATTTAAAAAAACCCACATTTTTGGAGAAACAAATCCCTATTTGAATGTCCATTTATTACAGTATCTAATTTTCTTATATAATGTAACAAAGGTAAACTCCTTATTACCTCACCAATGCTGGGCTATATTGTAACTTCTCTTAAGCATGCGTAGAAGGTGAGGGAAAAGGCAAAGGACCACCTCTCCCAAAAAGTGCATCCTGTCCACCCAGTGGCAGTCAAAATGTTGTTATTATCTGAGCCACTTGAGACAAATACTGCTACCATAATCATATATAAATCCAGAATAAAATAATCAAGGTCAATGGATTTATACCAGACACATTCCCTTTAGGAAAATAAGTGATAGGTTGAACAGCAGGGTCTGAGGAGCATTCAAATCCTACCAGAGTGTGGCTAGGTCACTTGCAGCACTCTTCCTGCCCTTTATTCATACAATGGTGCTCAAAGTGCAAAGACAAGACTATTCTTGGGCCCATTAGGGGCAGGGTATCTCCAGCAACTGTTACTAAGGCAGCACGCCTCAAAACACAAGTATGGATGTAGAAGTGATAACCTATCCCTTGATGTTCACACATTTAGAGTAATTTTGCAAGTATTCAGCTTCCCTTGGCCCTCTAATAATACCCATGCTCTAAGTCACTGGACCCTTTTTCTGAAGGGCAAGCTAAACTTCTCCATAGAGAAACTTTTACTTTCCTTAAAGATCCTGGGGCTTTATATGCTGTTCTCACCATACAAGGCAGGCATGGGGAAGACTTTGTCAGGACTGACTGGGCTTTTCCATTTTTGAGCGATACATAACAAGAGCGGAGCATTTAGAAACCAACTTCATCTGTCTTAAAATTAAAGCTGCTGGATAAATTCACTTCTTCTGCCACACCACAGAAGAACTTAACCTTCATGCTGTAACAGCAACTCCAATCCCACACTTATAAAACACAAGGTGGCTTTTAAAATCCTAGCAAAGATTACTCTGCAAATGAGCAGGGGCTGTTGATTTCTGTTTTAATGATCCTGGGCATTTATATATAAACATCAAGGGATATATATATATATATATATATATATATATATATATATAAACATCTTTGTCTACCTCTTCATGACAGTGTTGATTTTAGGGGGTACACACACACTCACCCTTGATATATGTATCAAGGTATATATACAAATAGATATAGAAATCAACACCCCCTGAAATCAACACCATTGATTTCTATTTTAATGATCCTGGGTGTTATATATATGTTCTAGTGGCCCGATATATATATATACACACATACATATCTCGATATGTATCTATATCTATCTATGCCTTTGATATAAGGGGATATAAATGATATATCTCTTTGATATATATAAATGCCCAGGATCATTAAAATAGAAATCAACACCCCCTGCTCATTTATGGAGTAATCTTTGCTCCTATTTAAAAAGCTGCCTTGTGTTTTATAAGTGTGGATTAGAGTTGCTATTACAGCATGAAGTTAAGTTCTTTTGTGGCAAGATAATTTATCCAGCAGCATTAATATATATATATATATATATATATAATGAATTGTCCAATGAATGGTACTTTACTCTGAGGGCAGCCTCGGAATCCCGCTCCCAGAGGACGTCTTTTTCCCATTTCATTTCACAGCTCCACAGCTGCAAGGAGCTCGCCGAAAGCCCCGCACCCCCGGCGCTCGCAGGAAAGGTGTTTCTGGGGAGCGGAGAGAAATCTTTCCGCGCAAGCCCCCCCGCGCAGCCGGGTGCGCAGTTGCGCGCCGCAGCTCATCAGATCCGGGGAAAACTTTTCCTCAACTTTTTCTCTGATCGCAACCCAGCCCCCTCCTCTAGCCCTGCCCTCCCCCCTCCCCCTGCGACCACCAATCCGCTGCCGCGCTGCGGGGTCAACACGGGACGCGA